CAACAATCCTGCAATTAATGACTTGATTTTTGTGGATACATGTGACCACTGTTGCTCACCGCATATCTGAAACCACAGGAGTCCAAGACCAATTTTCCGCCTGGTGAAGTGTAAGTTGGAGGAAGTGAAATTCTGTCAAAAATGCAATTTGTAACATCATACTTCTAGATTCAACATTGATTTTTGTTTTAATGAAGCAATTTTTGTGCAGCAAGTCACACTTATTGTTACTTTTATACTTTGGTAGTCTTTTGTGGTAGGTTTGAAGCGACCAAGCTAACCACCTTTGCCATCTACATCCAAGTAAATTAGGCCAGCATTTGTCCTATGTAAAATTATGAACGTTCTTTCTCAGTAGCAGAAGTGGCATATCAGGTTAGTCACGAGAGCTTGCGTGTGATTAGATGATGCTTGGTGGAATTGTTATTCTTTGTTTAGATCGTGAATTCCAGTAAATGTTTGCATTAGAAGATTTTCAATAGCTTTACCTTATTGATAAGTTACCTTCATTTGGAAAGCAAAAGACTTATATTTCTATGGCACCTTTCATAACCATAAAATGTCTCAAATTACCTCACAACCATTTATGTATTTTTGAATATATTCACTGATGTAATGTAGGAAGGACAGCAACCAATCTGTACATAACAAGGTTCCGCAAATAGCAACATGATGACAACTAGATAATCCGGTTGAGGCTAGGACACCGATCAGCTGCTATTCTTCTAAAGACAGGCTTGCATCATTAATGTCTACCCTAGGGCACAGAGGGAGCCTTAGTTTAAGGTCTTGTCTGAAAGATGCCCTAATACCATTCCTTCAATATTGCACTGGAACGTCAGCCTTGATTTAAGCGCAGTCCTAGAGTGGGAGTCCTACTGGCTTTCTTCTTGGACCAGAGTAGGATGAGAAAATTGTAGAAAATAAGCAGACATTGTCAAAGTGCTGAGATGCTTCTTTACTTATGAGTTCTCTATTAATCTTTCCATTAATGTTGCACTTCTCTTCAAATAAAAATTGTTGTCTACTACAAAATAAAATGTACCTCAAAGGTATGAAGGGGCTGTTGTCATAGTAACAACATGGTTTGAGTAGGCATGTATAAAACATGCCTCATCATTTTTTAAAATGTGCTTTTGACTTAGTAGCAACTCTCCTGCCTCTGAGTGATGATTTGAGGATCCTGACAGTCCCAACAAGTGGAGACTGGTGCTATCACTGCATTCCGAGTAGACATCCAGCTGGGTCCTCACTGGACGTGGTTGACTACAAAACCTTCCACTGTATTGGATTAATCACCCTGCTGTAGAGAGGTTTTCATATCATAGCCTGTTAATCAGCCTGCGAAACCTTTTACCTCTTCACACTAAAGCAAGAGTGTCAACATGTGACAATATTCAATTAGGTAGCCACTGGCTATTCAATTTAATTTAGCAACAGTGGCCCCAAAATGTTTCTTATATTTTATTACAGTTTGTCATTCTCTTTCTTCTCGAGCTTGTATTTTGTAGGTGGTGCTGATAGTGTTGTCCCAACTCTTGAGAATTATGAACACACTCTTCACTACAGTTTAAATCTACTCACTGATGACTTAATCTTCTTTAGCAGCGTACTTCCAGATCACAGCCTGTTGGAACTTCTCTCAATTGGCTCTCAGAATGTGGAGCAGGATGCATGGCTCCAACCAGAGTTGATTGTCTGGCTAAACTGCCATGGCAGTGACTGATGAGCTAATTAACTTCGACTGGTACATGGTCAGTCCTGATTGATTGACTTGATGACTCAAACGGAGAATGCAGTCAGTAGTGATGGCCACAAACACTGACTCATATTACATGAGTAGCTGGCAGTGACTGGAATTCATCAGCTCACTGAATACATATCTGTATTCTTATACTGTCACTGTCATTGTGTAGCTATGCTGGACATTACAAAGCACAAGAGGAACACATTAAATGCTCCTCACCCAGCATACACCTGGCTAGAACAAGAGTTAAAATCAAAGAGGTAAATATTTTTTAATCAATCTGTTTAGAAATGCTATTACACACTTCTGGAGCAAATGGGCCTCCCGCTTCAGAGGTACACTACCACTGTACCACAAGAGCACTACCATTTAAACTTTACTTGTTCCATTTCAGGGATATTTTATAGCCAGGGGGCTAAAGACTTTCTGTAACTCTGAGGCGGGGAACAAGGGTAGGGGAAGAAGGGTGGGTCGGCAACTCGGCTGGGGTGGGGTAAGGAATGAGTATGGGGTGGAGAAGGGCTTTTGGGGCCGTTTTGCTTTGTCTGGGCCTCCAAAATGATGGGCAGCCAAATGGGCAACTTTTCTGCCAATGGAGATGCTGCTCCATCAAAGCTGCTGGACATCTAGCAAGTTCACTACAGGCTGAGCTCAGGACAAAAGGTTGACTACACAATAACTCTGACTTTAAGCCTGACCTAGAATCTAGTGAGTGTGGGCAAGTGAGTAGGAAATACCCCTATGTAAGCACTGAGGCCTGGCCAATTAAAATCCCAGTACTCATGACTAACTGCTACTTACTTGATACATTAGATATTAGCACTTTAGAGCCACAGCGAAAGCTCATGTTCCCTTCTGTCAGAATTGCTGGTTACACGTCTGCAAGTTGGAATAGATAGGAGACAAGTCACAGTGAACTCCACAGGTGTTCTATGGAGGTCTTTGAAAAAGGAAGGGACAAGTAGAGAGACCGTGTTCTCCAGTAGCTCAGAAGTAACATCCAGCAAAACTGGACATTGTGACCACCAGCAGCATTACCCCTCAAAACCAAGCTTCAATTAGGGACAGGTTCAATAACCTTATAAGAGATGAGAATGACAATATCTCCTTCCACATATCTGCTCATAGCTGCCACATTTTTGTCTCCCAGAGATTATTAGCAGACAGCATTTGGATTTTCTAACTCAAAAGTAGTATGGTGGAGTATGGGTATGAACGAAGGAATCTGTCAAAACAGATCAGATGGCCCTTTTTCTCCTCAACTATGCCAGATGTCTTGGCAATCAAAATAGGCAAGGAACAGGCATCTTTAGGGATTAATTGCAGACTTTCTTTTCTAATAAAAAAAAATTCTAGGTATTTAAGTAACTTCAGATCAAAAGCAATGTTTCCTTCAGTTTGATTGCACAATAGCACCTTTTCCCCAATGGATAAAGTACTATAATACATTTCAACATTTGACTTACATAATGCTGACCAATGTAATGGTCAGCTTATCTTTGTTGGTCACAGCCCTATGATAAGCACTGAAGTAAAATTACATCTAATTTATAATGCTAATTCTAATAATAACATTTGAAGTTATCAAACCATTTAACAATTTCCTGTGTCATGGACAAAGGGGGAATTGGGTAAATTTGAAATATGATTGTTTCTCCCCTCTTAAGCTTGAGACAGAGATGTGTTGTTTGATGGATGATTTTCTTTCTTTATCCTGTATCTGATTGAAGTAGACCATGAGGTATTCCCAAAACCCTTTTTTTTTAGTTTCCACAGCAAAATCCTTCAAGATGAAATCAGAGACACAGCTCGTTAACAAACCATCAAAATGTAGGGGAGTTGTTTTGCTGCTGCATTCTCAAACACAAAGTACACAAGCAGAAAAAAAAGTAGCAACTTATGAATTTCTTTAAAAAAAAAATCAGTATTAGTTTAAGTGGCAGAGTCACTGTACTCAAGTACAGATGACAATAAAATCAAGAGTCAAGTGAATTAGTGTTGAATTGTGAATTTATCAGTTGCCTTATCCTTTAGCAATTCTTTTCTTGGGAGCTGGGATCTAGACAGGTATTTTTTGTACTCGGAAAGTTAGTTCAGCTTGGCAGGTGAAGTCTGAAATTTCTTTTTGAGAAGGGCAGGGGGAGAAGAAGGGGACAGAAAGAGAAAGGGAGAGAGGCAAATAGACAATGATAGATACAGACAGACAGGGACACAGACAGAGAGAGAGAGAGAAAGAGAGAGAGATGCAGTGATCTGCTTTTCTTGTGATGTTAAGACAACTATCTTACATTTTCAGAACTTCTGTACTTCAATAATTCAACAAGATCAGATATGTCATGTGCCAAAGACAGGCATTTCTGGTGCTGAGGGCCCATTTCGATGAACTAATGCCGACATCATTAAGCTAACAGTGTAGCTACATCTCCCCAATCAAAATATCCATTGCAAGGTGAAAAGATAATTGTAAAAACATCTGCACCATTTTAACATATATTTTCCTTCATCCAGAGCTGGCTGGAAGCAGACAGCTCGTACAGTCAGAGTCATACTGCATGGAAATAGACCCTTTGGTCCAACTTGTCTATGCTGACTGAGTTTCCCAAACTAAACTAGTCCCATTTGCTTGCATTTGGCCCATATCACTCTCAACTTTCCTTATTCATGTACCTATCTAAATGTCTTTTAAATATTGTAACTGTACCTGCATCTACCACTTCCTCGAGCAGCTCATTCCACACGAGCCTCCCTCTGTGTGAAAATGTTGCCCCTCAGGTCCCTTTTAAATCTTTCCCCTCTCTTGTTTCCAAGTCCATCTTATCAGTTTTGGCTGAATATCTATACAACATATTTCCAGAAGCTTCTGATTTATAATCATATGATGAGCCTCAGCCATGGAGTCCAGCAAGATTATCCATTTTAAAAAGAAACAGAATTTAAAACAGAGCATACAGAATAGAAATCAGTTTTCTTTGGGATATCTGTGCAACTTGGTGGCACCTATCATGGTGCTTCTGCCTCAACAGGCTCCCCACACGGTTCCCAAGCCCTTAAACAAGCAAGTTTTCAGACATATTCCAAAATTTACCAGACACAATGGAAGAATTGTGGGACAAGAAATACCGATCTTTCAAGGGCTCTGCAAAAAAGGACCTCATAAGCAACGTGTGGGGAATGAACTTAGACTGTGTCCACTCCACAGAATAACCATTTAAAAATGGCACGGGTTGAAAAGGCCAAGAAATTCAAATTTGCAACAAAACGAGTTTTTGCCATTTTTGTCTCCAAACAGACACGAAAATCTGGCCTGTGTTGTCTGGTTTGCAACCGTAGCAGTATAACTGATACACCATTTTGTAGATTGGAATAAGTGAGGCACATGGCACTTTTTAAACCAATAATTACCTATTAGCAGATGAGTTTAAGAAGCCTTTTTATAATTAAGAGTATAAAGTGCTTTTTGATTACAGGTGATGTTCAAAGACTTGTTTAGAAAATTGAAGGGAGATGGTTCACAATTACAGCAGCTACTTTTGCAGCTGTCTTTTCCTTTAAGTGACCCCTGAAAACTGACATTACCCAATCCAGTGTGTTGGTATTGTCAATGATTCTATGTGCGCTACGTTCAGAGGTAGGAATCCATATTGTAATATTTGCTCTTCAGTGTGAGACTTAGGAGATTGGGAATGGAATAGTGGTAACAGAAAGGAATGAAAAATCTACTGATTACAGTGGTTACCATGGATATACGTCCTTAAGCAGTGCTATATCATGTACTTGGTCTAATGTATCCAGCTCATATTAAAAGGATCATTTTAAAGTTTTGCCTACTGGCAGTGTCTATCAGGAACTGCTGGTTGGAAAATTACATGCAGTACACACCCATATTCACAATAAGCCATGGTCCATGGCAGAGATAAAACTGGGGAAATTATTCCTTCAAGTCTTTGCCACATTTAGTTTTAAAAGATTCACTACTGACTCAAGTCAAAACTATTTTAATAAAGATACTCTCTACAGTAAAATGAGGACATTATAGCTACATTTTCTTGCTCTGTCCTTCAAAAGCAAAAAAACAAGACATTTGATACCTACTGCAAGCTCAACACCAAAAAAATCTCACGCTGAATTATGACACAATTGCATCCGGTCCTCACAGTGATGTTATCACGTTGCACTGTTGTATGGTGACTCACTGATCACACTGTTCTTTGACAAATGATGCAGTGAACTATAAGTAATTTCATGAGCAGTTGATGGAGAGAACTAAGTTTTGCTGGAACATGATGTGAACTTAATTTTGGGGTCTTCAGCAGGTCGGGAGACAGGAAGCCATTTGTACTCCAGGCTTTGATTGGGAGGGTCCAATTGCCAGCAGTAGTGATTGAGCAAATATCCAGCTGTTGTCTTGAAAAAACAAACATCAGACATTAAATCCGAAGTGTGAAAAGTTAAGAAATAAGAAACAAAACGAAATGACGTACAACAAGACAAATTTAAGTGATCCTGGAGACCTCATGCATCAGGAAATACACACAAGGAAAAATTCGCTGTGTCATACTTTAAAGAAACACTGCTTACAAATGGGGTAACTTAAAATACTGTGCATTGCTGATCATTTGAATCTCTCAAAACTGAAATCAACATTCTCAAATAAAAGTCTATTAAAAGATATGGAGCAAAGGTAGATTGATGAGCTTGAGGTATGGATCAGCCATGGTCTAACTGAATTGTGGAACAGATTCAATGTATTGATTTGCCTATTTTTGTTCCTACAGGGTGGGATTACTAACATAGCATTAATATGCTCCCTTCATCCACAACCCCTTACTGTAATAGCTTCATCCTACAGGAAATTCAGCCATTGGTCTATGTACCTGATTCTCAACCATACAAATACTTCAGTTTATTACATTATTGTTATAGTATATTAGTTCAACAACAAATTATAAAATGAAGCCCAAGAAACTAACAGGTTTGTTCAGGGCTATAGCTCTGGGGACAGACACACAGGTTCAGACAATAGGACAACAGAAGCCCAAAGTGTCAGATAGCTACTCCATGCCTGACATGTTCAGGACACTCTAATGGGGGTGGGAAGGGTCTAGCAGCTAAAGTTCATTAGACCATGGTTCTCTAAGTTTGGACTTCTCTCAAAAAGCCATGGGGCTGATCTCCAGAATGGCAGAGTCTCCCTGCGTACTAAGTCCATTTAAAATTTTCAAGCAGCCTTTATGTAAAAGGGGGCTTTAAAATTTCTGCTGTTTCACTTGAATGGCTGCTGGTGTTCAATATTCATCACCAGAGCCCATAGTAATCACAGTAATACAAGCGATACACAGCCAGAACACCACGGATGTATTTAAATAAACTAATGCAATGTTATTGTACAAATGCGGGTCAGTTTTTTTTTGCAGTTACATATAGTAAGTCAGCAGTTCTTCACTGGAACCATAGCATCAGCCCTATTGTGTTACTGAATAACCAAACAGTAGGGGAATGGGGGAGGAAGGTTTTTGCGTTTTTTTTGTCAAATTAGATCTGGTGTTGTGGCAGCTTCACATGTATAAAAGGTGAAGTCGCCATGGTCTCAAAGGACGAAAGGGCTACGCTCTCTCATTAGAGTAAGGTGACTGGTGGTGGTTTAACCTGGAGGTCAACATGCCTTAGGTGAGGGGTGAGATTGAGAAGGTGAGTCTTTCATGGTAACCTCAGTCAGTGTGGGAATTGAATCCATACTGTTGGCAACACTATTGCAATGCAGCTGTTTAGCTATCTGAGAGTATATCTTGCAACCAACATATACAATACTAATTTCAGTACACTTGTCAGGTTGCCACTGAAAATCCATACGTAAATATAATTTGGGTTTTGCTTTTCAAATAAATCCACATTTCACTGTTAGATTTGATATGAACCCTTTTCCTGGTACCTGTAATGTTTTAAGCATGGATTTGACATTTCCCTAACACTACATTACTTTAGTGTGTCCTTGGCTCAGTGGTAATACTGCAGTCTGACTCATTGGGAGTTCAAAACTCACCGCAGTATCATGAGCATATAATCCAGATTCACACATTAGTACAGTACTGGGCAAGTGCTAGACAACTGGAGGTGCTTTCTTTTCATGAAATATTAAAATATAACCAGAAATAAAAGATTCAAAGAAATGCAGGAGAGTTTTCCTGATGTCTGAACACATACTTATCCCTCAAACTTCATCACTAAAACAAATAACCTGGTTATTTTCTGACTGTATTATGTTGGGTCTCATGCACTAATGGACTGCTGCAATTCTTACAGTGCAAGTGACTACAAATAATCAATTTTCTGGCAAACTTCATTAAGTTGTGAAAGACACCATACATTCCTTTTTTTTTATCTCTACATCGTTCAATTTGTTCCCTTCAAATATTTTGCGAGTTCACTTGCAGCCTCTGGCAACTGACTGTCACAGTAGAGTAATGATCCTTTATTCTTGTTCCTTCCTCTCCAGGTGGTGGTGTTGTCGAATTTCACTTTGGCTTGTTCTTCTTCCCTGGCCTGCCAAATCTTAACGTAAGAAATAGGAAATATAGGCCATCCAGCCCCTCAAGACTTCTCCACCATTCAACATGATTATGGCAAATTTTTGACCTCCTCCTCATCTAATCACATTATCCCTTTGATTCCAAGAATCTATCAATGTCTGCTTGAATGTACTCAATGATTAAACATCCACAGTCCTTTAGGGTTGAGAATACAAAGATTCTTAGCCCTCTCAATTTCCACTCATCTCAGTCCTAAATATGCAAAACATTATCCTAAGACTACCTTTGGATCTAGCTAGGAGGCGCAGCCTTTCTTCATTAAACATGTCAAACTCTCTCAAATCTCGTGTTTCAAATGAGGTCACTTCTCATTCAATTAAGTTCTAGGAAGTATTAGGCCCATTCTACTTCACATCTCCTCAAAGGATAGCCCTTTCATTCCATGAATTTACAAAGTGAACCCACATTCAAGGCAGGTATATCTTTCCTTAGTACAGATGAAGATTGTGCTCTCAACAGAGCCAAATAAAATTATTTTCAATTCTCTCATTAAGTGTTGGCATTGCTGGCAATATCCATTGTTCACTGCTAACTGTTCTTGAGACGATGGTGGCGAGTTGTCTCATTGAACAGCTGCAACAAGTGCAATAAGCCTTCCTTGTTCATGTGCTCAAATCCCTTTGCAAGAAAGGCCAACATATCATTTCATTTACCTTCTTAATTGTTTACTGTTCATGAATGTTAACTTTTTGTCTTTCATTCACAAGGATATCCGAATCTCTCTGAACTCTAACATTTAATAGTTTCTCTCCATTTGAAAAATATTGTTATCCTATTCTTCCTGCAAAAGTGTATACGGTCCCACCCTGGTGCTCAGTGTCCCTGTCAAGACTCCCAACTGAGTCATAATACCTAGTAAATGGTCTGTCTTATTTTTAAATTAACAATTAGTCAAGATGACAACTGTCCCCTGGAGACTGACTCCAAAGCATTAAAGAATATTTAAATATGGACTGCTCAAACACAGCAATTCCACTGTAATCCACAGCACCATATTTCATTTTAGTCATCAATGGATCTAGAATATTTTAATTGGCATGAAACATTGAGAACCCAATTCATTGCCAATGATTATACAGTTCATTCTTTTGACCAGAAATCTACATCCCATGGTAACCACAGATATTAAGATTCTGCTTGCTTTACTATTATCGAAGGGATCACGTTCACATCAAACAAATCAAACTGCCTGAAAAGCACAAACTCTTCTCATTGTGCACTGTTATAAAGACTCTGACCAGCAGCTTATCATCTAGTAAACATAAATGATCTGGGCACCTGGACTTAAATATGATTTGTTAGAGTACTGTGCTAGAACAAAGACCATAAATTGTTGTGCGAGATGCTATTTAATTGTTCCGGTGTAATTTCAATGTTTTAATGAAGCTCTGGTCTTGTATCAACAGGATTTCATGAAATGGTGAAGATGGAATTGGGGGTGGAGTGGGATGGAAATAGGAATCATCAGTTACCATAAGGGCAAAGTAAAAATATTTTGGAACAGGATACAAGAAATTTCACATTTTAATACTTTCGGATTAGATTATCTATCAGAGAAGCTAACCATTATAATATTAGTTACTTACCACCTGTGTCTTCTACATCTGTGTAATTAATGGAACTGCAAATAGATACACCTGTCTGGTTTAGCCTAAACAAAATTTTCTGACAATCGATATTTTTTGTCTTTTGAGCGTAAGCGAGACAGTGCAGTTCATGATGTACAGAGACTATGGTGTATGGGTATGTTTTACTTTTGTAGTACTCTTCCCTATATATGGCACACAAAATGTGCAAATTTCAGTTCACAGAAGATGCAAGTTTGCTCATAGAGATGTCATTTTGCTTTGCTGAGAGATTTCAAATTAAAATAATGTACTGCTGCAGACTGGGACTAGAAGGGAAAGAGAAAATTAACAATAAGAGGGGAAAAACAATGCTGATGGTGAGCAAAAATGTCTCAGCCAATATTTTTCCTTCATTTGACATCACGAAAACAAGTGATCTAGTAATTGTTGTTTATGGAACTTTGCTGAATACAAACTGTTGTATTTCTAATATTATGAATGTAATAGTGACTAACATTCAGCCAAGTAAGTCAGTAATCAAGGTACGAGTTAACTAGTAACAAGCTAGAAAATGTGATCATCACAGGACAGAAATGTAAGTAGAATTCTATTTTCAGCATGTGGCACCAGCCTCATGTCACTGCTTCGAATCTGAGATGGATGAAATACAATCACATTAATATGCATTAAATCAGGCAGATTAATTCTGATACAATTCTGCAGTTGGCATGTTGCCTTTTTAATTAATTCAGTTGTTGTTCAGGTCCACTAGCCAAATGAACTTACATTTATAATGGTGTTTTTATTTATACTTACAGCCTCACATGGCACTGTTCAAACTACCAACAGTGGGTTAAGTTATAGTTAGCGTACCACAGAATGAAGACTCTCATAGGGATGATTGTGGGCCTGCCAGAGAACCACTGAAAATTTTCCTTTCATTAAATTTAAATGATAGGAAAATAAGGTCTGCTCTATTACAGCTGTGGAATCTTCTCTTGCCAGTTTTGCTCAATATACTCCCATTAAAGTCGCCGCTTCCTTCCCTCTAATACTTTGTATCTGTTTCTTTGTGGAGTCAACTTCCATTTCTATTGCCTGATAATAACCTCAAAATAGGGCCAATGAGCCTACTGCTCTGTTAACACCAATGACGAGGCAGTGACTAAAGCAAAAGAGCAGTAGATCTTTTGCAATATACAAATTCGTGACCTTGAGCCTTCAACGCCAGGTTAGGTTATAACTGGTT